AAACTGGCGGAGGTTTGCCAAGGAGGTGAAGATTCACTAATTCGGCAAAGATTGGCAAAGACAGCTGAGATTCGTCAAGCTGGTAAAGATTCGCCAATAGGGAGGAGATTGGCCAAAATGACAAGATTCCCCATGGCGGTGAAAGTTCTCTTACTTTGTATTTTATACTGTACATTAGGGACTAAAAGTTAATGGTAAAGTAATATTTAATACTGTACATATATGCTATGCAGATAATATTGCTCTTATCACAGATTAGTGGAAAAAGGTAAAAAATATTATTTAAGAGTTAATGCTGAAAATACCAAAGTAATTGTTGTTTCCAAATTGGAAATAAATACTAAAGAAAAATTATGGTAGGTAAAAGGGAACTTAAGCAAGTGGAAATCTTTGTGTATTTGTGTTACCGACTGTATGTTTACCTGTTCCTATCACTGATGAATGGTCCTGGAGTTTCAGCACTGTAGGTAACTGAGAAGTTACAACAAGAAATGTTTTTGGGTTAAGTTTGCAAACCCAAATGGTCTTTTCTCTTTTTATTAAGAATATAGTCTAAGTACAATTAAACTAAGATATCACTGTAACTAACACTACAAGTGTTAGAATAGATGAAGTGAGTTATAGCAAGCTTTGTGAACACATGTGTGGTGTGTTTGAGAGACCTGGTATAACTGAGATAACTGGCGGATAAACTGCTAACCCTGTTAGTCAGTGATGTGCCGAGGTCATTTGAAAGACAAAGAGGTTACGTAACATACATCTCTTGCTTCAGTATTAGAAAGTATTTACAGTAGAACGTCGATTTAAAGGGATTCAATTTAAGATTAGTATTGATTTGAAGCGACACCCACAATTAAGGACAATGTTTTAATTTAAAGCGAATCTTTCCTATTTTGCGCAAATCAATCTGGTGCATCATATTTTAAAATTCGTGCCTAATGTTTCTCTGGGCATGCTACACTGTCCTAAGGGAAAAGCTGTACTTTACATGTACTCAAAATAATGTACTAAATGATTACTAAAATTTTTGTCTAGTGCAAACTATAGCATGTTTATATTCAAATTAATCACTATCTTATAAGAATTCCAGCAATGTAAATTATATTCTCCCCGGTCACTTCTGTGACATTTTATAAACAAAAAACAAAAACTCAATCTAAAGGACATAAATAAACAAACAAATATTTCACTAGACCTTTGGCCCCAACTATCAAAGGTGTCACTGTCACCTCCCTCCCCCTCCTATCTTCCTAGCAAGGGTTGGGTGGTTATAGGCTTACAGTCTTTATCTTATATAATATCACAGACTAAAGTGAGGAGAATAAAATTTGCATTGCTAGAATCCTTGCAAGACAGCGAATAATTTGAATATAAACGTCATATACTTTGCACAAGAGATAAAAATTTTAGCCCTTTGTAATAAAATTAGTTAGTGACATTTTATAACAGAAAAACTTAAAGTCACTCTTAAGGACAGATAAATAAATAAGTACTAGACCTTGGCATCAACTGTCAAACATATCACCTCCCCTCTTCCCATTAGCTGATTGCTAGTAAACAGACCATTTCACGTCCCATAATTTTAGCCGTGTTGATTTATGAGTGTTTGTTTTAACATGATACTTCAAAAAACAATGTTTTGTTTATTCTAGGAGATGGGCTGAGGTGCATCTGGGTAGACTCTGTCTTTTTAGTATTTTGTGTTTCTCTCAAGTACTAAACTAAATTATTCCATTGAAACAACACTTCGATTTAGTGCGAATTCAGTTTAAAGCGACTTCTCTTGGAACGTATCTCGTGTTATATCGAAGTTCTACTGTACTAGGTACTTGCTCATACGTTAATTACTGTGGGTGTAGTAATTATATAAACAAAATGTATGTAGCCCATATTTATATCCCCATTATTGCCTTGTTAGACAGGGGTTAATATATTTGGGAAGTACAGTAACATTAGCTGTGATGGTAGATGTAATGAGGAAATCAAAACAAGAATAGGACAAGCAAAAACAGCATTTAATAACATAAAGGACCTAATGAAAAGGGAAATTAACTTCAATTTGAGAAAAAAGCTGCTGAAAGGCTTTATATGGCAAGGAGTGATGAATAGGATCAAAAGTGTGGACATTTTCAGCAGACACCAGAAAAAGGTTGGAGGCCTTAGAAATGTGGTGGTACAGGCAAATACTAAGAATAAACTACATTGACAGGAAAACAAATGATGAAATACTAAGATTGACAAAAACTTCTAAGAGAAATACTTGAAATGTACAGAAAAAGAAGAATGAGATACTTTGGTCACATAATTAGGGACAAGAAAATAATAACAGAAATATTAATGGGCAGAGTTGAGGGTAAGAGGGCCAATGGGAAGGATGATTGAAATTAATAACTGGGTCCCCAGATACAAAACTTTAGAGAATTGGTGAAAACAGGTCGAGAAAGTTTAGAGTGCAGGACTGTAGTCGCCAACCCTGAGTTATGAGGACAGTACAGTGGTCCCTCGGTTAACGAATTACCTTCCATAAAAATCTTCAATTCGATTAACAAAATCCTTACGAACATCACGTTTTGTTGTGAGCATCAGCTGATGGGCTAGTCTGCCAATTCAGTAATCTGTTCTATGTTTACATTCGTTTCCGGTGGAGTAAATATCAAGAAAGTTGAGCTCTTTAATATTTTTGCATTTTTTATATTAAAATCATTAGTCATTTTAACATCTATTTAACATATTGATAATATCATGCAGTACAGGGAACTAGTTTTGTGCACGCCCATCAGTAGCTTGACTCAGCCACAAGGCGGCAGTTGGGCTTTATTGACAGTAAAGTGAGCATCTATTTTGTTGGTGTCTTGAATATTTTTGCATTTTTCATTGAAATTACTGGTCATTCTGAAATTTAGTTAACATATTGATATATAGCGCAGTGCAGTGTTGATATAAATAAAATAATCTTGAATTACACCTAGTGAACTTAAAATTTTATTGGTGAAATGACGGCATCAAGTATGGGTCCCCTGAAAGGTGATTTCTCCTACATCCTCACTTCCTTCTCTTCTCCCTTCTCCACCACTTCTAATTCCCATCATGAACATCAACCAGGAACCTTCTACATACACACCTCAAAGTAAGTGTACTTTACAGCATTTTTTTTTACTTTGTATGTACTTTTCGGTGAGCTGGAACCAATTACCCAATATCCCATTGAAACAATGGATTCGATTAACGAACGACCCTCTGGAACAAATTGTGTTCGTTAACCGAGGGACCACTGTCCTCTGATTGATTGATCCGTAAGGCCAGCTCAGAGGGAAAGGCACCAGGGGTCCAGCACCAACTGCCACAGCAAAGTCATAAAGACCAATGGAGCTTCCACAAACAGCACAGCAGGCAGACCTGAAAAAAGGAAAATGAGCAAACAAAGGAGATGTTTTGGCAGTCATGCCGCTACGTTGAGCAGACCCAGAAGCCAGCTGCCTACTTACATTAACCCCAACTAAGAAACACAAGAAAACTAGAAATAATTCAGTTAGCAAGGGACCCACCATTCTGGGAAACATAATTCTAGCTGAACGTCTAGATTTTCCCAGTCACAAACACCAGTGAAATAAACAATACATCATAACACAAGAACCCTAACGAAAGACTTACCTCAAAAGAGAGAAAGAACAACACTAGAAATGGTGTGGAAAAACAAGACGATGAGAAAGACGAGTATGTGTTAATGGTAAAGCCGGTGGGAACAGACAAGGGTCTGTTGTCTACCTCCCATCCTAGGTTTTGGACCTCCATAGAAAACAGGAATGGGTGACTGGAGTATTTTGTTCCCAATTTCTACTATTCTGCAAGAAGTCTTCGTGTAGCCTAGGATTGGTTTGCAACCCAGATGTCATTGGGTTCCCAGATTCAGCCTTCATAAGGTAAGGACGTGTGTAGTCGGCGCTGCCCGCTCACGTGGCTATGGTCTCTTGATCGAGAAGACAGCTGCCAGCCTGGTTTGTTGGGCCCTTCCCCTTCCCCATCTGGATTTATCAACATCTTCCCACCAACAGTACAGTGCAAAGATTGACGATCAACCCACAACTGATATACAAAAGTGACAACTTCAACTTGAAAGGAAGAAACAACTGTTAGAGCGACAATCAGTACTTAGCGGCCAATGTTGACGTGATGCACCCAGTCCGCGATACTCGCCACCCCAACACTGGATGAGAAGCCAAGAAACACTCCAAACTACACCAGGAGAGAAATGAGGATTCCCTACTCCACCCAGGTGAGGAATTAACCTAACTACATCATATGAGGAACAAGAACCATCTCCAACACCCTGTGTGAGCTGGAGGACCTACCCGGAACAAGTGGTACATCTGCAGCTGTAGTGAGGTAGCGGCTTAGCAGTCAGGTACAATGGCCATCAAGACAGTGGGGACTTTGTTGGCACCGACATCAGGTCACAAGAATGTCTACAGACCAGCTCCCACAGTACCAGATCTAAAGTTAATCTATATGTTGACTCTATGTTTCTTATGCTTCTGTATTGAAAGCTTTTGTCAATCAAGTGACCCACTCCTCGATTTCACCTTTGTAACTTGTCATCTCTGTTCATTGTATATTTTCAGCCTTCGGGCTGCCATATTTTCTTAATAAACCGTTAATTATTATTATTATTACTTTAGAGCTAAAGGGATGACCCTATAGCAATGAACACTTGTTGAACCCAACCGACTTAAATAACTGTGTGCAGGTACACCAAAAACTGTAATTAGTAAGTTGTTTTACATCGTCTTAATTCTTTATACATTTTGGGGATTTTTTTTTTTTTAAATATGAAGTCAACTAAACTTTTACAATGGGAGTCTCTGGGAGAATACAAATACTGTATATAATACATACATATCTGGTGCATAAATATTGTTTATTGTACTATACAGGTACAGGGTATTTATATTTACAGATAGGATGTTTAGAGAAAGAAAGGTAATAAATGATAAACATTAACATGTACTTCACAGATTTATTACAAACACTGCTTCCACTCAGACATGACTATAAGAAATGAATGATGACAAATCAATGAAATTGTACTGTAGTTTAGCATAATACAAAAATTATGTATACAGTAAAATACTAATGTAGCTTGAATTTTCAAAAAGGCAGACCAACCCAGGAAATGCATGATCAAATATGTCAATGAAAATATATTTTTCTTTTATTCAACCTGAAAGTCACTTTATACCTGTACAGGTATCCCTCGCTAAACGAACCTTCACTTTCCGAATATTCGCTTATACAATAGGAATATTCTATTCCTACACCTCTTTCTCACTAAATAAAAACTATGGTCCCTTAAGGAAATGTATCAAATTTATATTTCATTATTTTTCTAACATGCTAGATGCTACATTACAGTATTAGATACTAAATCACAGTACAGTAATTAGGTACAAATTTACAGTGTTAGGTATGTTTATTGTTGTTTGTGAACTGAATTAAATTTTTTTAAATATTACATTGGGGGTTTTCCTGTACAGTAGTTAGTTACAAAGCTACAGTAGTTAGGGGATAATTTACAATACAGGTAAACCTTCGGATATGATATCCCTAGATGCAATATTCCATTTTAATGATGGTTTTAAATTAAGATAATCTCGCTCTATATGATCAAAACAACTCGCTTTAACGATATCCATCGAATAGCCATCAATATCCATTGGTTGGATTTTTTTTATATACAGTAGTGCAAACTATGGGTTGTACAGGGTATATAAGTACTCAAATTAATGGCTATCTTGCAGGGATTCCAGCAATGCAAATTACATTTTTCTACTTCAAGACAGTGACATTTTATAAAGAAACAATATTTAACCCTACATATAATACATCTCTACTTTCACTTGCAAGCCTAACCATGCACTGCCACACGGTCAACCCAAGTATTACAGCCCTGAGCTTGGTTCTTTGTCAATCATAAACCCGCCATCGCATGGCTCCACGATTATCGGCCAACATCGTACATTGTAATTATCATCAGTGGGTTTTTTCTTATGTAGTGAAAGGACAGCACTAACATTTAGAGTGAACTGTGTTATGGTGAATGTTGTTTTTGTTCTTTTGAAATGTAAACAGTGTCGGCCGCTATCATTGTTTTTGTTATCATCGTTTGCTCTGTTTTTGTGACAAGTGTTTTTGCTGTGAAGTGCACAGTGTAACTTTGAAAATGTCTGGGAAGGCCAAGGCATCTAAGACAACCGAGTCTCTGGGGTGAAGCTTGACATTGCTAAGAAGCATGAGACTCCCCAGAGGCTGTGTGGGAGTCAGAGTGATGTCTCCACTCCACTTACAAGAGTCCCCTTAGCCTCGAAGGGGACATGTGATGATAACCAGGCTTATTCTACAGGATGTGGCGAGTGTTGTTTAATCGTTTTGTACTGATAGTAGTATTGTAGGAATTGTTTTGTTGGTGATACATGTTTGTTTGGGGACTGGCTGGGAATGTATCCCATTGAACCCCATGTTATAATGCTCCCTATTTACAATAAATTTACCTAGCGATGGGCTTTCAGGAACCCAACCCCATCGTATCTCGAGGTCTACCTGTAGTTAGGTAGGGTTTTTGTTGATTGTGAACCTATTTAAATTTTTCTTGGTACAATATTCAGGCTTTCTTGTTATATTGCTTATATGAATATTCACTTTAACGAATCATTTTCAAAAAATCTAACCCATTTGTATAGCAAGGGATACCTGCATTCATATAATTTTAAGAAGAATAAAGGCAAAAACGAATGGTTACATGGACTTAAGGTTCTGGCAAACGATGCAAAACCAATCAACAAAACTTGTACTGTATAGTATTCCATCCAGAAACAATCACTGTCTTTGATGAATTGGAAAAACGTGCCTCCTAACTAGTTACAAGAGACTGTCTTGACAGCCCAGTAATAATGGATGCTGGAAACTACATGTTCGTGCCATCTGGTTGAGTATTTTGAATTAGTGTGATATTATCACCCTTCAGTAGAATGCGACCTGAAAGAAAATGTCAAACATTAATATTTTCACACTTCAAGTTACTGTACAATTAATTCAGCAAATAGCTAAAAATGATGTGTCTGTACATTTCTGTTCAATTTCATAAATTCTTCTAAATTTTAGATGCATTGCTAAGTCCAATACAATACAGTACTGTATAAATGCTGAATACAAAATGGGTATAATGCAACCCTAACGGCACATGGTCCAAAATTAAAGGGAAGGAAGTGTACAAAATCATTATGAGAATTAACTGTCTATTACCAATATATAATATATTCAAATTGGACACTAATGATACCTAAAATTTACTTTCATAATGAATGTGATGACATAACTTGGTTATACAGTAATTTTTTTGTCAAAGGGCTACTAAATCAACTGTATTAAATGTTTTAAGCACTTAAATTTCTATAAACAGAGCCAACATATATAAAAGTTTATGTAGGTGTTTGAGGTCAACTTATAGATACTGCAATATTGCAATAGCATGTCACTATTCTTCTATAAGATTATTTTCTTATTTTTGTAAGACTTGAAAAACTGATGTCTCTTTAGTGTTTGGGCCACTGAACTAAAATGGTTATCCTTGATCTAAACCTCCATTTCTGCTTGGTCACAGAAAAATGAGACCTGTGTATATGTCTCCATCAATCTGATCAAGGATGACATGAGAGATTATGAGAAGTAACTTCAGAGTTAAGATCCTGACAGTGACCTTCTCCACTTTTTTTAAATCCCTTTGTAGAATTGACACCACTATCATTTGTTTATGTATCTGTTCCCTACAAAAAGATCCCACTTTGGAATCATCCATGGAACTTTGGATATAATGACCTTAATTGATCAACCATTTCAAAAAACTTCATAACAAAGGAGGAAAATAAACCAATCACACTTAAAACATTGCCTTTGTGATCTTTTTTTTTGGGGGCAAACCAGTGAGTGAAAAACAGGTTTTGCTGCTCTTCAGGAAGAACCTGCCATTATACACTTTCACACCAGCAATGAAATTAAGCCACATCTTTAAATACTGTACTGTAGTAACAAGTGGAAACAATAATTTTTTTTTTTTGGGGGGAAGGACAGATGACAACACTGCTATATCCTCCCATATTTTCTTTTCAGAAGGACAAAAAAAATTAAGGTTTGTCATTTGAGTTAGAATGGGCACTGATATCTAGGGTATAAATTCTGAAAAAGGTATTATACTATAAAGGTATATTGAATTTCCTAGACAGTGTACTGTACTGTACTTACAATAAATCATATTCTCAGAGATCTTCATAATTTTAAAGCGAATGTTTCAGAATATTTCAATACAGTGGCTTGTTTAACTTACCAATAGTTTTCCGGGTTCCTTTCTTCATATGCACTTCCTCAGACTGGTCAAGCATGACATTCATATATTCATCAAAGCCAATAATATGGCCTTCAATACGTAGATTCTGGTTTTCATAAAGCCACACCTGTACACGGGCTCGTGACTGCAGGTACCTAAAGATAAGGTTCTGAAGACAAGGTTAAGGAACCATATCACAAGTGGAAATTAAATACAATAATGTACAATGAACTGTACAGTGAACCCCAATAACTGATGTACAGTGGACCGCCGAGTCGCGTAACTGATGATTACATAAAATTAAAGGGGAAATACCCCTCAAGTTTCGTTGATACCCCAGAGATCCAACAATTGGCAGAGATGGAGTGGTGTGAATTCTGGTTACCAGAGGGCTCTGAACACTGCCTCTGATTCATTCTTGCCATCTTAGCTCTTGTTTACACTTACTGTGTGTCTCTGACTTGTGCTTTTTCACTACTTCTGACTTAGTATGTTACTCAATCATGCCTAAACACTCCAGTGATAGTTCCTCTGGTGCTGGGCAACTTGATGTAATAAGGCATAATAAGAGTGGCGATGGGCCAGCAAAGAGTGGTAGAGACTTGAACGTGTTACCCTAGACCAGTGGTTCTTAAATGTTTTTGCCTCATCCCCCACACAAGTCGAAAATCCCACGCCCCCTCACCCCCTGATGCAACCTTTGGTTATTATAGTGGGAGGGATGAGCAATTGTGTATAAGACGCATTCAGTTCCTGACCAGACTTTTCTCTCTGACCGTTCACGCCCCCATTGGAATCTTCTAGTTCCCCCCAGTTTAAGAACCACTGCTCTAGACCATCTCTACCATCCTCAATTTATGCTTTACATTGCTTATTTAAGGCTTACTATTCTTGCTTTATGGTCTGCTTTATTTTCTTGCTTAACAGTATGCAGTACAGAGATACATCAAGGGTAGATGTGAGTTTCTGGAGGGTCAGTCCCTAACCCCCTGAATACGTTATGTTCTTATGGGATTAGATATTTCGATAACCGTCGATTCACTAACCAACGACATTTCCTGGTCCCAAAATGTGTCGGTTATCAAGGTAAGCCTGTACTCTAAAAACAATAGTGACCACTAAATAACAAAGTGGAATACAATGAGGAAAAAACAAGAGTGAATAAGCTGGTGGGATATTGCTAAGGAGGAATCAGACACACATGAATCATGCCAAGAATTTAAAAAATCCTTGAAACAGAAGTAGAAGATGTATACCATGGCAATCAAGGAAGTATATACATGGATGAATCACAACTCCAGGAAAGCCATTAAGACAAAATACCACCTGTGGAAGAGGTAAAGAAATACCAGACCACAAAATATTAAGCAGACTATCTACGGTAATATACTGTACAAAAAAGCCCTTAAAGTGGCCAATCAAGAAAAAAGTGCAGCACACATTGAGAAAACATTTATTCAAAATATCAAGAAAGATCTCAAGTTCATTTATGCATATGCCAGTAGCAAAATGAAGACTGTAGGACACTACTGTAAATAGACAGCAGATACCTTATGAATACTGTACAGTAAAGCCTCGAATAATGACTGCAGTGCATCGTATCGTGAATAATTAATTACCAATAAAATAAAGCAATGATAATGAGATGCGTTCTCTAGTGTGACCTTTTCATATCTTTTGTATGGCGTTTTACCCTCTTTTCCCCAAAACAATACAATTAATGAAAAATGAAAATTATATTCTCTAAATAATGTTTATGAATGCACCTTATACAATATAAATCAACAATAATGTCACACAAGAGGAGAAGGGATGCCATTGTTGTTGTCAGTGTTTACATGCATAATGTCAGTTATCCATCTGAAACTGAAGAAAATAAGACCCTGGTTGTTGCTGTAGTAAAATTAATGTAAAAAAATATGTATGTTTTAATTAATGTTATTTAATGTACAGTAAAAGTAACCACTGATGTTAAAGAAAAAAAAAGAGTGTGATAGTGGAACGGCAATGTACAGTATACTGTACTCGCGCCCTCAAGGAAACCACATCATTTATCTTATTAAGAATATGTACAAAAGATTAATTATTGTTTATTATTGAATATGTAGTTGATTGAATTAATGTTTATACAGTGACCCCTCGTTTAACGAACGCCTCGGTTAACGAAATTTCGGTTAACGAACTGCCTTCCATAAGGATCTTCAATTCGGTTAACGAATTTCTTACGAACCGAACTCAACATGTTTTCGCTTGCACTGACCGGGCAACCAGCTTTAGTATCAGTCCGCCAATACATTAATTGGTTCTAGGGCTTAAATTCCTAACTATTTTAGTAAATATCAAGAAGTTTATACTATTCAATAATTTTAAAAGTTTAATATTAACTTTTTTAGTCATTTTAACAATTATTGAACATAATTGAAGGTAAAGAAACTAGTTTCTGGCGTGCCATCCAACCTGTTAACACACCAGACAGGCATTAGTCTCTCTCTGTTTTCAGTGGAGGTAACATCTTGCTTGAGATTCTCTTCAACTAAACGCTTTTTTTCTGTGTTTCCAAGCAAATTATTGGTCATTTTGAAATATATTTTACATATTGACAATATATAATGCAGTGCAGTGTTGATTTAAAGAAAATAATCTTGAAATACACCAAGAGAACTAAAATTTTATGGATGAAATGGTGCCATGGGGTGACTTCTCTTCCACCCCAATGCCTTTTCTTCTTCCTTCTCCTCCACCCCCATTCTAATTCCCATCATCATCATCCAGGAGTCTTCTACATACACACCTCAAAGTAAGTGTACTTTTCTACCTTTTTTGTTGAATTTAGGAAATTTTCGGTGAGCTGGAACCAATTACCCAAAAACCCATTGAAACAATGGTTTCGGTTAACGAACTTTTCGGTTAACGAACGACCTTCTGGAACGGATTGAGTTCGTTAACCGAGGGGTCACTGTATATGTAAAATGAACAACGCAATTCATTAATAATACATAGAATATTAAAACACACAAGAGGAGATGAGACGGCATTGTTTTCATGAGTGACGGTGGTTCTACTTAAGAAACTGAAGAAAATAAGACCCTGGTTGTAGCTGTAGTAAAATTAATGTAAAAAAAATGAATATGTATGCTTTAAGTAATGTTATTTAATGTTAATAAATGAAACAATAGAAGTAGCTAATCATTAATGGTAAAGAAAATACGAAATGGATTGGGAACGCCAGCGTATATAGTGCGTATATGTGAAAACATCGTCATTTCTCTACATAAGAATATGTAAGCAACACTTATTACTGTTCATATATATTTTAAATAATATTAACTAATGTAAAGAAAAAATTCTATTCACCAATGGTGGTAAAGTCTAAAACATAAGGACAGCCAATATAATAGACAACTCCTGATTTATGTACTGTACAGCCCTGTAAATGTATTCAACGCATATTATATCATTATGTCTAAATCAAATGTAAGTCTGTATATTTTCAGCCACCGGCTGCAACTCTATTAATATACTGTTTATTATTATTATTATTATTTATAATGTTGTTTGAGTTTTTACTCAGATGACGAAGTCATCAGGTTCAACTCTGGACGAAACTGGAGCGTTACATAAAGATGTCATAGCTGTTGCTGAAATTGAAGTTTTTGCTGAAGCTGCTTATAATGCTGAATTTGATGGTGTAGCTGAAGTTGATGGTTTAGGCCTTTGAATAAGAAAGATGTCTAAAGTACCTTTCACAGCCGCTTTCTTTTCTCATTACAGTGGTCCCTCGGTTAACGAACGCCTCGGTTAACGAACGCCTCGGTTAACGAATTACCTTCCATAAGAATCTTCATTTCGGTTAACGAACACGTTTTGACATGTTTTGGCTTGCTCATCAGCTGGAAGATTAGTCCGCCAATACAGAAATTGGTTCAAGGGAATACATTCGTTAAAATTGGAGTAAGTATCAAGAAGGTTGTACTATTCAATAAATTTCAAAGTTTTATATTAAATTTTTTTGGAATTTTTAACACATTTAACATAATTGTAGTACAGGGAACTACTTTTTGATGCGCCCATCAGCCACTTCACTCACCCACCAAGGCCTCAGTTTGTGTCTCTGTTCAGTGGAGGAAACATCTTGCTTGTGGGTCTCTTGAACACAGAGTATTTTTACGTTTTTACAGTACAATTATTGGTCATTCTGAAATTTATTTAACATATTGACAATATGTAGTGCAGTGCAGTGTTGATTTAAAGAAAATAATCTTGAATTACACCTAGTGAACTTAAAATTTTATTGGTGAAATGACAGCATCAAGCATGGGGTGATTTCCCTTCCATCCCCACTTCCTTCTCTTCTCCCTTCTCTTCCACCCCCACTTCTAATTCCCATCATCATCAATCAGGAGTCTTCTATATACACACCTCAAAGTAAGTGTACTTTATTGCATTTCTTTTTTACTTTGTATGTACTTTTCGGTGAGCTGGAACCAATTACCCAATATCCCATTGAAACAATGGATTCGGTTAACGAAATTTTCGGTTAACAAACGACTTTCTAGAACGAATTGTGTTCGTTAACCGAGGGACCACTGTATATATCTTTATGTAGAGGTCATATGCGTTTTTTACGTCCCTGTTAATATGAATGCTTTGTTCTGTTAATGGATCCACTTCAGAAAATATGTTCTTTGCTTCCTCCATTGAATATCCACAGACCTCTCACCCTTTTCATATCGTTTTAACACATCTAGTTTCTCGGCTAAGCTTATACAGTACACCTTCTTTTAGCTTTTGAACCAGCACTGCCATCCCTTGCTCATGTTGAATAGGGACGCAAAAATGCCGTAAGAAACCCGAGAATGTTTTTCTTCTTTTCCTGTTCAGATGCGTGAAAACAAAAGGCCCGCCAAGCTGCGGCTGTTTATACTAGTGATGCTGGCATCACCACTCACAAGCCCAGCAGCCTCCGTGCGCAAGGCGTGTTTTTTTTTTAATACGTACCAGGATTTAGGTATTATTTATATGAAAATGTAATTTTATTTTATATTCTATTTTCGTCATAAATACGAAGAAAATAATAGCGTAAATTGAAATGGGTTTTAAATATGAATTGTTGTTATCGGAGGCTTTCCTGTAATTTGCATCAGTCATGACACAAGAAATACTGTACTG